TTATGAAAAGGGAAGGTGAAAGCACCCTTTTCATCCATGGTTATCCATGGGCTCTTAGTTACTTGTTTAGAGCACTTGCTTTTGCTTTTCAATTGTTTGAAATGGTGCTTTGTGTGTGGTTTTGAAAGATGTTTTGAAAAGAGGCCATCGTTGTGGAAACCTTTGTAATGATTCTTGTTTGAATGTATACAAAGGTGTTTTTGTCTTTTGAAAAGATGTTCAATGTTTTGAAAGTTTGATTTGGAAAATGTTTTGAAATTGTGTTGTGAAGTGTGTTTGAAAATAGCAAGGATGTTTTGCAAGTTTTGATCAAGTAACTAAGAGTTATCTACCCTATTTTACTCAAAGATCTTTCCTATATGTTTTTAACCCTTTTGACAGTGTTGTTTTACCATTGCATTTGGTAAACAACCTTGTATTAGGATGTTAAACGGAACAAACACGGATCATCGTATAGACCATGATAGCAATTATGTTAAGTATTTTTGGCAAATTTTCCGAGGGACTAGATCACTTTGTATAGGCAACCAAGATAGCGTCATCGAGGGAATATGATCTTTTGTTTTGTTTTTGTTTTGCCAAAGTACTCAACATGCGTAACATGGCCCATTTTAAAGGAAACAAGTGGATGTAACCCTAGGGGTGCAAGTGTGTATTGTGTTTGATTTTCATGCATTTTTGTCTTTGTATTAGGTCAAGCTACTTGTTAATTTAGATTTTTGCATACAAACCCTAATCTCTAACCATGACATAATTGAAAGCATAAAGTGCGAGAATTAAAAGTCTAAACTATTACAACATGATTATGGGGAGGGGGATACAATTTTTGAATGGGGATTATTTGACAAGAAATTAAAACCCTAATTTTACTATTACATCCAAATTGAATCAAATGGAATAAATAATAAATGAACAATCTTTAAACAAATTAAATATACAAAATAATATGAAGATGCAAAAAATGTTTTATTTTTCATGTATGTAAAAATATTTAATGCAAAAAAGGGAAGAAATAAATAAAAGAAATTATTATTTTTTTATTAAGGGTAAACCCTAATTTTTCTTTAAGAAAATAAATATATTAATCATATTATTTATATACAATATAAAATAATGTATATGCAAAAAATTAAATATGTTTAGAAAAAGTATTATTTTAAGTATAAATAATACTAGTATAATATTTCTATGTTTTTTTATTCTAAATTATCTAATAAAATAAAAGTATATATATATTATATATATATATATATATATATATATATATATATATATATATATATATATATATATATATATATATATATATATATATATATATATATATATATATATATATATATATATATATATATATATATATATATATATATATATATATATACACTTTTATTTTATTAGATAATTTAGAATAAAAAAACATAGAAATATATATATATATTAATTATATTAAATATGTACAATAAATAAAATAAGATATATACAAGTATATAGAAAAAAATGATAGTATATGAGAAAAATATTATTTTTATAGGTATGCATAATAAAAATAAAATATATAATATTTCTATAATATTCATAAGTTTTTTATTAAATAAAATAAATATATATATTCCCTAATAATTATTTTTATGTCCAAAAAATAATAAAAACAAATGTGAAAATTTTATGAAAATATTTTTAGATATTTTTATGTTTGGGAAATATTAAAATAAAATCAGAAATGAAAATAAAATACAAAAATATCAAAGTATAAAAAAATTGGGCCAGGGGGGTGCATTCAACAAATGGGGGGTGTCAAAATCAAAAGAAGCAAAGCCCAGCCCAAGCCAGACTTCATCTTCAACCTTTGTCCAAAATTTCGCGCGCGCCCTGTACAACTGCTAGATCCTGCATACGAGCTCTATTGCAAAACACATAACATCAAAGTTGTAGAGCTTTTCAAGACGAATCTAACCATATAAAAAACTAATCCTAACTCTCAAAGACCAGAGAGAATTTCTCTGGCCCTAAAATCTAACCTAGTTTTTTCAGAATGTTCATGGACCAAATTCTCTTAGCACGCGAAATAAAAATGAAAACTGAGCATATGTACAACTTCATGACAATGAATACTACATTTCTTATTCACAAACCTAAGTCTAAATGTTCCTAAATAGAGAGATAGGAAGTTGATAAAAACCTGTTTCAGCTGACTTCGTGTAGGGCAATGTGGAGCTTTTCAACAAGGCTTGAGATGTCTGAGAGCTTGCTTAAACTTCACTTGACCTTCTCCAATGCCTATCTTGCCTTGAATGTACTTGAACAAGCCTACAGAACTCAACCTGCACAAGCTCAAAGTGAAAATGGAAAACCCTATAAATGGAGTTACAGTTGGTGTTTAAGGTTTGTGATAGCTTGGATGGATGGAATGGAAGGTGTTTGAACAAGTTTGGGGCAAAACGCACAAGCAAATTGTGCTATGGAAGTCAAGTTGCAGATGCTGCCCTGTTTTGCCAATGGAGGGTGATTTTGAGCTATGGGATATTTGAAGGCTCAAGAGGTCGTGTTTATGGCTCAAAGGGATGTGAGAAAGATGTTTCAAAAGCTTGCACAAGTTAGTTTTGGCTGATGTTCCAGTTTTTAGTGTTTTGGATATCTTTCTTGTATTTTAAGAAAACATGAGAAGTGATGTCCAACAGGCCTGTACAGGCTATCCATATGCTTGCACACTTTTCCCTTGGCCCCTCCAATTTGTGGATTTGATTAACTGCAGAAGATATGGACCAATGCTCAAGAAATCAGTTTTTGACATAAAGCAAGATTTAAGCAAAAATGGTAATGTTGCTTTTTCTACTTAAGGATTAATTTTGTGTACAATGCCCTAATGACCAAAACAATGCCTTAGACCAATGGATTTGCATTTAATTATTGAGTGTGAAATGGTTTAGAGGCCTGTAATCTAGTGCAAAGCAAGCAGATTTGAATTTGCAACTTGTATGAACATGAACATGCCATGGATGAAAAGTGAGTTTTTGCCAACTTCAAGCCTTCGATTCTCCATAACCACAAATGAGTTTGGAGAGTTCTTGGACATTTTGGAAAGCTTGCAACATGATCTACAATCCATATTTGAAATGAAATTTGAGATTCCAAGTGGAACTATGTGAAAAATGGCCATTAAGATAGGTCAAAATCCTGCCTAAACTAGGGCAAAATTTCACTAAGTTAAAAGTTTTAGGGACCCTTGTTCCAAAAATCATAACTTGAGATCCAAGCTTCTTTTAAGAAAACTTTGTGAATAAAAGTTGTATACTTTGTTGAGGACTACAACTTTCTTGTTGGAAGTTTTGTTTGAATCCAATTGCATCATGGTTAAAATGTTGGGCAAAGTTAGGAAAAATTAAGAAAATTTCATAACTTAGAAAAATTCTA